CAGCTTTCGTTTCTCTTTCCGGTTCTCCTTTTGCTTGCCCTGTTTCACTGTCTATTTCTAGCCTATTTCTGCACTTGGGATTTTATATCCATCTTGCTCACTTCATCCTTAGCTTAATTATCTTGATATCATCGGGTCATCAGTTCCTAACTCTCCCCATTTGCTCTTGTGGCAGCTGTTGTGAGGGCCAGTCCAAGCATTTCTGCATCTGTGGGGTTCTGATACTGTTATTAGTACGATACCTTTGTGACCAAATGCATTCACAATTTATTTGCCAAGGCAAAGAATTTGTTGGATTTGAGATCTCGTTATGGCAACAGAATAGCAATGGCCTCAAAACTGTCCAAAGCCCACAGATGTGGGAATTACAATTAGAGGTTCTGTCATTACTATTTGCCCAGGTTTCCTGAATTTTAAAGAAGCTAATTTAGCTTATAATCCACATTTGTGCTGTCCCTGTTTTCTCCACAGAGTTTTAAAACATTTTGATTGGTATGAAAACTGTATAATGAGCCCTGTTAGCTTGGTATTGCAAATATTGATTAGTGGGAGATTGTATTTTGGATCTTCACTGAAAACCACATTCTATTGTGTTTCTCTCCGGCAAATATCTACAATCAAAACTGAGTATTGAATTTGGAAACCCACTGCACTGTATTTATATCCTTCCTTCCACTGACTATTTTGGAGTTGTAGATCCAATTAGGAAAAAAACATGACGCTGTGGCTTGTTACTTTGGTATTGTTTTACCAAGAGAGCTGTGAGCATCAACTTCCTCATAATATCTTACACAAAAATGTGGAGATTGCTTATATTAAGAAGATAGATATCACTGTTAGAGATTCTGCAGTGTGAATGAGAGCAATCTGCATAAATAGCATTTTTCTCAGTAGCTCATTAGGAAAGTGTGCTGTCAAGGCAAAAATGACTACTGACAAATACAAGAAGAAACATAAGACAAGCAGGAGACATTCAGAATCTTCTCTAAAAAGACCAGCTTCTCAACAGGCCCTCAAATAGCCTTTTCGAAGCTGAAGAACTGTTATCAGTGCTATGTCATTTATGTTCTGCTTCATTGCATCCTCTTTAAATGGAATGAAGTTATGCAGTTGCTTAGATGGAGAGAGTCTATTGATTGGTGTTTAGGCATTATACATGAATAGGTTAATGCCTGTGAACCTCCCAGTTGGAAGTTTCTAACACTAACTTACAGTTTCCATCAGAGATCAAAGTAATTTACTAACATAAATTATTTATACATAGGGCTGAAAGAAATTCATAATAACAATAAGGCACCTCCATGAGATAATCACCATACCAGAAGCACTCATCTGTACCTCATAGCCCTGCAGGGGTTTGTAATTATCTCCTGCAAACCACACCTCTAGTGATTGCTTTCTGCTGCTTCATTGCAATGCTGCAACTTGCAGTACTTTGCCTGACAAATATCTTTAAAATTGTATTTAAAAAAAAAAAAAAAAAACACACAAACCAGCTTAGGACTAAAAAAACATGTGGCAGCAAAGCAAAAAGGAAAATGTTGAAATGCAAAAAAAAATCAAGAAATGCAGTTATTACAGATTTTAGTGGCAGCCAAAAAAAAACTACTACATTTAAGCAGGTACCAGTGCTTTCTCTTCAAGTTATTCACTGGAATGAGCCCATCATTTGCTGTCGTTTCCCTTCCTTGCAGGTGATCTATGGAAAACTCTATTTACATGGTTCTGGCCTCTTCTCTATGCTTCATGCAGCTAAAATTACTTTAAAAGAGGCTAAAAATGCATTAAATACTCCCATAAGAATATTCTCCAGTGTAGACAATTGCAGAATTTGCACAAAGCATGACCTGATTATAGATGGAGAAAACCAGTGACAGGTGGTGATCTTCATGGTAATAACTGTTCGTAAAATATCTCCTCTGGACTCTACTCAGGCATTCAGCTTGGAAAAAAAAAACCACAATCCTTACACTATTTTAACAAATATTAACAGTCCTAACACATACCAGTCTCAATGCAAATTCAAAAGTACAAAAACAAACAAGCAAACAAACAAACCCTAACCTTTAAATTAGACCAATTAGAAACATAGCGTTAATTTAAAAATTCCTTCCAAAACAGATGCTTTGATATTGTGTCAGTGGCACAGTACATTTCAGAGGAATGCACATTTCTGTGCTACAACCAATGCACTGCCCAGTGAATGTAGGAGTGAGGGCAGAGCCCTTCAGTGTCTGTTGATAAGTGAGCACGGAGGTGTCTGAGATGGTGGGGCTAAGATGAGCTTTCAGATATCCCATTTCAGTCTTACTCAGAGGCTAATGAATCAGCCAGGCTAATTTAAACCAAGTCTACCATGTAATAGAACAGGAATGCAAAGAACACAAGGTGGCTAGGTGAGCTGTGATCATGATAACACAAATCAATAAGCAATTGATTTCTTCCATTCTGAACAAGCTGGAAGTGATAGATCAACTTCACCATTAGCCCAGCCAACAGTGCCTCCCAAACTGAATGTCAGAGGAGCAGAAGCATGCTTTGCTATCACCCTATCATTGCATGCTCAGAGTAGATTGCAAAGCTGAAATCTGTAGTTCCAGGATAAGTTGAGATTTATAGCAGCTTGTTTAGACAGACAAGAATAGTGAGTCCTTTCATAAAAATATAGTTCATGCAGTGAAAGACATCCTGGGTTATTTCAGGTATGAGTTAAAAACCTAATTTTTTTTTACATCGGGATCTCTTCTTTTGAAGAAAATCATAACATCACTGTGACACTCCTCACCCACATCAAGGTGTCTAAGATACCCTTTCCCAGTATCCTCACTCAAGTCTGAAGAGTCATAATCTACTTCACTTTCCTTATGCAGAAACTGTGTTTTATCCTTCATCATTCATGCTGCTTTGTTTTTGGAATCCTTTCCAATCATCCAATATCCTTTCTGAGAAAGTGGGATACCATAACCACGCCATTTTTCAAGATGTGGGCATGTGTATTTGACAGTATTTAATGTGTGACACATACATTTAACATCATGAGCTGTTTTGTTCTACTCCATCCGATCATTTCCTAATTGCACACAATTTTGTGTTTATTCTGTATGTTTTCTCACCATGGTGTTCATTGAGCTAGTTTTTTACAATCACAAGGTCTCATTCCCAATTTGTAATAATCAGTTCAGAATCCATCACTTTATAGGTATTGCATTAAGTTTTTGAAAATTAAAAGGAACAGTAACTACATCATGCTGAGAAGTTTTTAAGATATAAGATTGCAGTCCTTCAGCAAGAACAGCATAAGCAGATTTTTGTATCCCCAAGGAAGACTTCCCAGACAGACGTTTGCACCTTTTTGACATGGGAGGTAGATATAAACTTTGAAGTATAGCTGATAATCTCACATGCATTCTTCAGATAGACGTATTGTAGATATTTACTCAAACCTGGACAAAAAAGTTATTTTCTTTAGTGTTTAAGAGCTATTGAGAGAAGAATGTAAGGAGAGCACAAAAGTAGAATATATGCTTGTTGTTCAGTAAGGATTTAATTTTCAAAAATGCTCATGCAGACAGTGATGTTTAGATATTTTTGTTACACAAATTGAAACAAAAGCTTTTAAGACTGCATATGTGCTTTATTGTCAGTAGAAAGTACTTGTAAAAGCAGATGTCTAGTATTTGTATAGGTAGACATCTATGTCTAAGTGCTGCTGATGCTGAAAATTTGTCTTACTGCATGAAGTTCAAAGTCTCATAAATCACTTGGAAGCTTGAGCTCCCTTTAGAAAAGAACATTTTGATGCATTTTCCATGGTGAAGTCCTTAGGACATAAGCTGACTTTTCTTTGTGAAATAGTAACTTCATCTATGGATCTATGAGCAGTTGTTTTTAGTGGTGTTCCCACAGGTAAGGTTCAGCCTTTATGTCTTTCATCATAGCACTCTGAACTTGGTAAGTTGCTATCTTCTTCTTGTACCTGTGATATGGGGAGAAGTTGCATAATACTGTCCAAATTACCTAATGTTGCAACCAAAAGCCCTGATAAACTCCCAACACTTTTCAACAACCAACCTTCTAATTTATTCTAACAAAACACTGGAGCCAAAGGGATTGACAGAGATGTACTTTATACTCCCAGAATAAATTGTGGAAAACAGATATGTGCCATAAAGACCACTGTCTCTGAAAAAGTGCTATCTGAAATGCCTTACTGGACTATTTAGTATTTCCTGGTTTTTCTTGTCTCAAAGAAAACCCGTTTACTCCCCTAGAGATACCACTGTGCATGAAAGGAAGGAGGAAAGCAACTCAAATCATCCTAATGATCATTTCTAAGCAGCAGTCTCGCTCTTTTCCCTCTCTTGTTTGTGCAAGTCTAAATCTGCTTTTAAAATAAAGTTCCTGTAATTCTGCACAATCTCTCCACCTTTGCCAGGAATGTAAGGAAAATACAATCAATGAATTGCAATAGGTTGTGTTTGGCAGGATCCCATTTGATAGGCTGCAAGGTTGAAGGCAACGCCAAATCCTTCCAGCCTTTACTGATGTGAAGAAGGAAGCATTGTGAGCTTTCCCTCCTTGTCTGCTTTCCTGATTTGCCTGCCTAGTGGTTGTGTGTTCGTGTTAGCTGGTTTCCACTGAAACACAAACAGGAAAAAAATAATGACTTGGTTAACATTAAAGAGCAAACAGCATCTGTGGGAGTCTGATTGTCTGAGATGAAGTGGGGGCAGTGTAACTTTGCAACCAGCACATCTTGTCACTGGGGCCCGTACAGGGCAGTTGCTGCAAACTCTGGTTATTACAACAGACCTGAGGCTATCGAGTATTCAAGCTGAGTACCCTGTGGCAGATCTGTCATTAATTTGAATGTTCTGTTTTACAACAGGGGTTTGAAATGTAATCCTGTTAATTTTCTGTGGGGTTTTCAAAATTACATTTTTAAAAGATTCAAAATGATTAAAAAAAAAAATAACACTATGCCTTGTTTGCTTTTACAGCAAGAAAAACTGGGTGATATCTGCTTCTCCCTCCGTTATGTGCCTACTGCTGGAAAGCTGACTGTTGTCATTCTGGAGGCAAAGAACCTGAAGAAGATGGATGTTGGTGGTCTGTCAGGTACATGCATGAAAATCTGCTTACAGAATTTTTCAGGATCATAAGGCAGAAAAACAACTCATTTTCCATTGGAGAGCTCTTTGTTGAGAGAGTAAGGGCTCTTATTCACTGTCCAAAAAATGCATTCTGTGTTTTCTGAATCTTAAGACATGACTGAGTATATCAGAACTCATTCTAGCTTAAAAAGAGAAATTTCATTATACAGTGCATTCCAGTCCAAGACTACGTGAAAAATTAAACAGTCAGATAATGCTCTCTATACTTTCCTTCTCTCCTGTTATCTGGAGATCAATATGGACTATTCGAGCAAGAGGAAAAACAAACCCTGACTACTATTCCTATTGTCTGTTTAATCTCATAAAATGTGAACATTTCCCTACAGTGTTACTGATAATACATAATAGGCAAACTCATCACAGGTCACTGCTGACTATTGGTTGAGGTGCTAGGATAATTGTTTCTGCATTTGAAGGGCATAGGTGTGATTGCTCCCTTGAGCAGATCTGGGAGTGTTCTGCATTAATATGTACAGCAGCAATCACAGTGACAGTCCTGCTCTTCTGAGTCACTGAGGTTGGTATCTCCCACCTACAGATGGTCCTTGCAGCCTTTCCTCATCTTATGATGAGGCCACACAGGCAGTGAGTGGGATGATATATGCCATCCGCAAGGGAGGCTGCCATCAACTCGGGGCACTGGGGCTTTGTCCTGGGTTCTACTGGAGCTCTGTGTAGGCTTCTGCTCTCCCCTGTGTCTGGAATTCTTGGACACAGATTACTGACTGAATTGCCAATTAACTGAGATCAAATTAAATAACAAGATGCTTCATAAGGAGAGGTATTTAGAGGAAAAGTTTATTTTATATACCTTCTGCTAAAAAGACACGGTTTTTACAGACCATTGAGAATGAGGATACTTCTATCACAGCTTTAGGACTGAACACTTTTACAGCTGTCATTAACACACAGCTGATGTAGTTGTTCATCTTGAAGTAGCAAATGATGAACAGAATGGTGAAGTGTTTGGCTTTCATTTTCTCATAGTCTTAGCGTAAGGTAAGAGGTATATCTAAAGCATACGTAGGCATAGAGGCCTACTCACAGTAAGCCTTCAGGTTTCATTTACCACCTTTGCTGAACAGTAACATGAGGGCCTTCATAAAGTGAAAGGAGATGAGGTCTCTTACTAGTAACTTTTATTTTATTTTACCTGTTTCTGAAGTCTTCTGCTGTACAGCAATAGACACCATAAAGACATGAAAATATTGTTGTAGTTGTTACCTGAATCAAATCTAAACTTTTGAACACCCATTCTAAAATGTGGACACACCAGTATTTGTTTCCTTAATGCTTACACTGAACCAATTTCAGATTGAAGTTCTTACGCACTTTTCTTTTCTAATTGTTTCCTAATGAAAAATTACATCCTCATAGTGAGGAAGTGTGATTTTTTCTTTTTCACTAAAGTAGAGATCTAAGAGTCAAAGCATGTATATTCTTTTCCAAAATTTGAAAGAAGTGTGATGGATAATGGCTACAAAACTCATAAGAAAGAATCAAGGGAAGTACTAATGAACTGAAAACCTCCTACAAACTTCTGATGAAAAACATAATGCATTGTGTTGGAAATAATCATGAGGAAATGAATGTGCTACATGCTGAAGCGCCGAAACAGAGTAAAGGACATACAAATGCATTTCTGGGGAATTGCATGTTTTGTTCTCCTTTGTAGGGCCATACCACACTTGAAACACTGTGTTCTCTCAGAGACAAACAAACCCAATAGGATACCATGGTTTTAGTAGGAATTCAGAAGTCTCTGACGGTGATAAACAGCAGCTAGTATGGTATTCCTGAGGCAGTAATTATAGATGGCTTAAAATGGATCCAGTATCTTTCATTAGGGAATTTATCTTCTGAATAAATTATGCAGAAGTAACTTTTAAAATCCAGCTGAGATTCTGTTGTCATTATTCAAACTAAATAATACCTGCTTTCAGAGTGTGGTACTGTTAAGTGCTAGTGAAGGTGACAGGATTTTATCTCAATTAGGGAACACTTTCCCCACTACTTTGTTATTTTCTCTAGACACTAAAATTGCTTTTCGTTTTGCAAAACTTAAAGTTTCGCATTGCAATGGAGGTGGGAAAACGCTAACAATCAAATGCTGTCTCAGCCTGAATGCTACTTATATGCTCAACAGCACTTACTGTCACCAAAGGAAGAGCATTAGCAAGAGGGGAAAATTATGTAGGTGTCGGAGCTGGAAAAAAATAAATAAGAACTTTGACAAAAATTGCCAAAAAGTCTCTCACTGTTGAGGTGAGCACGTTTAGAGCTCAGGTTCCCTTCTGTTATTCTCCCTTGTTTTGGAGAAGATACTGGAAAAGCAGAAAATAGGCAATTGGAAATGGCTCCTCTTTCTCTTGCATCATTTTTGCCTCTCAGTGGAGTTTATCCGCATTTCATGAAGGAGGAGCAAGGCCCTGGCTTCTGCAGGAGGTCTGCCAAGCATTCACAGCAAACAGCAGGCAGCTCTGCAGTTTCCTTCTGGCTGCTGCCCTGAACATCTTGAGTATTACTGCTTCTACTGTATCTGCTTTGCTCTTCAGTGATGGGGAAAACTTTAGCAATTATATATCTGCTGTCCCAGTATGATGAACAAGTCAGTCACTGTGGCTCAGCAGTCTTCTGAACTTCTTTTTAATAATTCATCAAAAATTGGAGTGCATCCATAACTGTGGTCAATTGTACTTTAAAATATGCTTGATTTTCAACATATTTGTTTATACTGTGTGGAAATAGAGCACAGTTAATAAAGTACATATACTGTGTATAAAACAAAGTAGTTTTCTTAGCATTGTTCTACTGGTGATGCCTTAATGCCACTAGTCAATCTGTGTGTCCAATTGAATGGTTACTACAGTTGCAGAGAAAGTCTTTATCTCCAACATTTTGAACTTTTCCATAAATTTTATAGACAGTCTAAAGCCAGGCATAAATTACTTCAGATAGATGATAAAAGACAACAAACTAATCATCAACTTTATTAGACTCCTTGTAACAAAACCAGATCACCCATCTGAGCAATAAACTCCCAGGTCTTAAACTTAATTGCAGCATCGGGCTGTGGCTAAAGCAAACCTTGGCTTAAGGACTGGAACTGTTCAGCCTGAGCTCATCAAGTCACCGCAACAAGTGAAAATTATTATTTCTGGTTAGAAAGGGCCTCTGGCAAACAATTATGCATGTTTTAAAACTGCATTTTAATTATTTAAATTATATTCAAATGCATTTTTAATGAATCTGACATCTGGCAGGTGAACTGTAGGAATGTTAACTATAAGGAGGTCATTTTTATTCGTCTGAATTTGGTAAACTGGAGTTACATGGAATTATAGGCATACTTCACCCCAAATGTCTAAGAGACCTAGAAGCTTCTGCCTTACTGAAAATCAAGGGAACTTAACACTCTCAAGTCACTGTGTTTGGTTTTTTAATTGCCTTTAGATGATTTAGAAGATTTTAAAACAGCTTGCAGTTTAATCTCTCCAAAAAGCCCATAAAGACACAGTTGAACTAATTCCTCGATAAGGGTACAATGCATCTCATCAGTGCCATTCAGTTCACAAAGGCTGCCTATGAATTATGATACGTTATTCAGGTTTATGTTCTCTTCTGCTCCAGAAAAAGAAGAAATTATCTGCAGCTCCCCTGCGATATATACATTTAAATCAGTGGTAGTGATTTCAGTTAACTAATCTAAATAAGTATAAAACTTTTATCTACAGTAATTTTAATCTTGTGTTGTATTTGTTGTTTTTTTTTTTCTTCTTATTTTCTAAAGAAAAAGATTCTGGTTAAACCCTCAGCACATCTGACTAGCAGATAAATGCAATAAATACAATGCTATTTATTACACAGAAGGATTCCCAATACCAACACACATTCATGTAGGCAGTTCTGTAGATTTCAGTGTGTTTAGCTGTAGCTGGCATTTATGTTTATTTTTGTTCCTGACACAAAATAAAAGCTTTCAGTTCCATTTCCAGCAGCTTTCCCTGCTTTGACTGAGCCAATCTTTGAAGTAAATTACCTGAAACAAGTGCTGGCACCTGAACAGACTGCTGTTATGGCTGTTTAGCTACCCAGGCCCTTTGGCTTAAATGCCTTTTCTTAAGAAGTTCAGTGAGTATGTATTAATGACAAAAACAGTTTTATTTCTAAAAGGTATCATCTCTTAGTAGCTGATAATAATTTCAAGCTTTAACATAGCTTATCTTCTTTTTGGGATTCATTTCAACGAGGTTCTCTTCTTCTTAAAAACTTTGAAAGATATGGCATTTTTGTCTTATGTGTTATTTTAGTATGCTTAGATTTTAGTCATTCTAATTACCAGGAATGTATCCTAGTAGGATGCTTTTTGCTTCCCTTATCTTCTTTGCCCTGCTGCCTCTCACCATCCCCAAGGTCAAACGCAGGTTACTGATGGAGATGAGGACCCAACTAGAAAAGTCTCAGCTACCACTTAAGAATTGTCATAGCACAGTTCACAGATTCTATAAACTCCTAAACTGTATCCATTTATGCCAAATCAATGTTTAGAAAGAAATGCAAGGGCTGTGATTGGATCCATGTGATCTTCCTTCTGCAGGAAGCTGCACGTAGAGCCACAGCAGAAAAAGCAGCCTGTAATCCAGTCCATCATGTGTGAAAGCTAATCTCAATATTTATGAGCTATAAATAGAAAATACATAGCTCCTCTTTGTATCTGTCACAGAAATATTATAAATCAGAAGCATCTCAGGGGACCAAATGGTACTATACCAGAATAAAGCTGGGTTTCTACACTTATGGATTTATTTTAAATACTACATTCAAATTCAAAAGGCTTTGAATGTCTTATAGCAGATTTGAAAAATAAAAATATTGTTTAGAGACTGGTTCTTTGAAGACAGAGTGAAGGCTCATGAATTATGCAGGCAGAGCATTCACTTTAATAACTTCATTAAAACGTAAGAAAGCTTAAAAGCAATCTAACACAA